CCCATCAAAAAAAAATCTATAACAATATTCTTTTAAATGACAGCCACATCTAGAAAATGAGTATACAAAATGATTTAACACACACATCTTTCTATAAACATTTGCTATATCTATTCACCAATGTTGTATTACTTGAATTAATACACAAACCAGAACCAGTTATGTTGACTTTGTGGCATTATTAAAATATATCGCACATTGATTTTAAAATAGGATTCAATTCGTTATATATTTCCTTTACAACTGGACGATCCTATCTTGAAGCTGTCACATTGTCATCTTTATATTGTATCTTCTATGTATCTTCATTTATGTCAGATTCTGTCAGTTGTGTTACATTTGTACAGTTAACACTCCTACATTCTCCACAGCCTATAGAAAACTCAAGTCCATGCTTCCTACATGTACAACGTTTACTGTCACAATTCACTATACAGTTGCATTTTATAATTTTTAATAGGTTTTCTGGAGCTTGTGGTAATTGTGTCTTAACTGGTAATAAGCTATTGCCTACAACTGACCATCCACTCTTGTGGTAACATTTTGTCATTTGAGTCAATCCATGTTTGTACTTGAAAATAGACCCTCATGCGGCTGCGGATGTAGGAGGAAGTGTATGTACCTGTACAAGTGTTGTGCTTGAAACTACTTTTTGTGCAAAATTTCTGAAGCGCAATAAATCCAATCCCTCAGTTGGAACTCTGCCATACAGACATATAAGTGCTTGTTCTCTGGCTTTTTGTATTTCATCTCTTGTTTTACCCTAATTGCAAAACACTTCTGCACTCTCCCTTAAATGTTGGTCATATCCTAGTATTTTAAGTGCTGCCCCTTTTCCAAAACCTCATAAATGCGAGATGTTGTGTCGCAACCTGTCAAAGCATGAACAAACGGCATATGGCAACAGGTGTTTGCTCCAAGTATCATCTTTGTTAGTCGAACGTCCCAAATTCCCACTGCTTCGTACGTAGTCTGTTTCCCTTCTGACTTGAAAAAGGTATTACAGTTCTGAGTATTAGCGTGATAGCCTAGCAATATGAGAAGATAAGTGTCTTCTCCGATCAACATTGTTTCACGAGTTTCTGCTCTAACTATTAAAAGATCTGCATTGTCTTCAGCATATACAACTTTCTATTCCCTATTTTCAAGTCGACACCCGAGCATGTAAATAATACGTTTGTTTTCAGAGTTCGTTAAGAATTGTTCTTTTTTTCCTTTGAATGGTGTATTGTCTTTGAAGTTAACAATCGAACCATAAACTCTATGCATTCGCCGCATATGGGCTACATCCTTTGTTGATGGTCCTGACTTGTAGCCATCACTGGATCCACATACTTTATAGATATATAATCTACGTACACATATCTGCGAAATCTGTGCCTTGTTGCTATGGCATGCGCTGTAATAATGATCCTCCATTTAACACATGTTGAACATTCTCAGTAATAGACTCCTGTCTTCCACAGTCTCCTAAAGCCCAAATTGCATCAGCTAATGCTGGTTTTTGTGGTTGCCTTGGAAAACCTGATGGATGAAATAGTGCAGATGGAATACTACAAAGCTCATATCCAAATATAAGTGACATGTCTTCTTTCGATCTAGTTGCAGCTGTTGTAAGACATTGAAAAAGTAGCTGGGGGTTAACCTGAATTGACTCGCCATCTAATTTTACTACAGGCTTTGTAGTAAGTGTCACTGCTTGCTGGGATCTTTTGAAAGAATACTCCATCACATTTTTACCAACCATTTATTGTAAGACTTTCGATCTGATTTCTTTTGCATTGTAAATATTTACAGATGAATCAGATGCCACACCGGTTTCAATATTGCGTAATGAAGGGTCTTGGATAAATGGATTTTTTTCTAGTAGAAAAGATAGGAGTATGTTTGTGTCTTTGTAGTCCCTTGTGTCTGTTGTTCTGGTGAAAATACCTCTGGAATACACTTCTTAGTCCTAAAATTGACACTACAGGACTGATGATATATAGCCTCTGCTGCAGGCAAGTCACTTACACTTTCCAGTTGCCCTCAGACTTCATCAGCCCACCTATCAGCACATTCAATGCATACTTTGGTAATACTATTTTGGAAGTCTGTAGTTTTAACAGAAAACACATCTAATCCTCGCTTTTTCCAGATAATTTTGCAGCTTGGCTACAAAAGAAGTATTGTTCTTTAAAGCAAAACTGCTCATAACCAGATCTTACTAAATGCAATTTACATGTAGGAATATGTGAAGATGTTTTACTATTACGTTTAATGACATTTGGATTACAGTAATTTTGACAACATTCTGTGTGAACATATTGCACCTGGAACAGTGAATATGTTATCACCACATTTAGTGCTTGCAATGTTTATACTAGCTTTTTCATTCTGTTAACTTCCATTACAAATAACACAAACGTGAGAGGAGTTTGGTATTTCCATCTGTAAATACATCAAAAGTAACCTTATAACTATTGGATTTAAAACATAAAATAAAAAGACATAAAACAGTTTGAATACATAGATTATGTAACAAGTTCTTATGAAATATCTCCAGGGTGTTGGTTTTTAATTAAATATAGTGTTAATTTCTTAAATTATTTTACAAACAAGCATTGAAATAACACTCATACAATAAGTGGATGTAGACCTATTCTTTAGACTCGCTACATATATTAGCACGTTTTATATCTGAGGTTTCCATCTACAAATACGACTGTTTATATAAATGTGGTAACACAAAATTCATATAATATATTGTTAAACATGAGGACACACAAGAATAATACCAATGTGAGCAAAATGCTGTTGTTCTATATTTGTTTTGTAATTTTTATGATTTTTCCAAATTATGGCACAAATGGACTTCCGTAGTTATGAAAATCGATCAAGTCACACCACTAATTTTCTTTTTTTTTTAATGTATTTTGTAAAGCATAATGAAGCTTATATTACAAATGTATCGTTATTTATCAAAAACAATAACTTTCCATCACTTTATACATATATGTACTCATTATTTTTACATGTTTGCCATCCGTGAAAAGGCATTGCATTTTTTGATTTAGGGCAAAACTCACAGGCCTGTCTGCCACCGAGAAAACGCATGACACAATCTGATTCATCATCTGTTTGCATAATGTATGGACATTTTAGAATATGCATTTTGCACATATAATAAACAATACACTGCAAGAAACTTACCATGTCCAGTTTATTTTCTTCTCACTACTTCAACAGTGTGTATCACTGGTCACTAACAATTTTCTGAGAAAAGCATACATTATACAGTGGCTTATATGTACCACTTATAAATTGCAAAATATACTTTTTAAAAAGTTTTTTTTTGAAATTACCCCTACTTAAGATTTGTCTAGACTTTTGCTATGTTGTTCATGAAATATAGTTTTATGTTATTCTTGCAAAAAAATTCTGTTGCAATTAGTTTGATGTTGAAATGTAGACTGACTGGACTATTCTAGAATATCCAGAATATGCATATATAATACAAGCTAAAGGTAAAATTTCAACTAAATTGAGCAACCCTCTAAATGCTATTTAATATTAAATTTTCATATTTATATATTGCAACAAAATGAGGGGGTGAGAGTGTTTTAAACCAAAGCTTCAAAAATAAAGATCACCCATATATATGTACATATAATAAATCAAGAACATTCTCAGTAAGACCAAAAGAAAACAAGTTTTTCAATTACCAGTCCTTGTCATCATCATTAACTCATAATGAAAATGGTCTGTAGTCGTAGCTCCTAAACACATTGGGGATATTCCATGTACCAGACAAGATCCAAATGCAGATGTCAAGCTGTGGAGAATCAGTTAAGGGTTAGTAGTTGAGTGCTTGAGTTGAGGAGTCTCAATTCTTACTGCCTTTCACTATCTGCAGTCAGTTGCGGGATGGCAGTCACCCTTAATATTTACATGTAAAAATAGCCTTAAAGTAGAAATTAACCACCCTAAGTTTCTACATTTATAGATCTCCCAAACTCCACCCTCTTATACGATGATGATCAATAAGACAAATCATCCCAACAAAGAAGCAAAAATAACTTTATATGTCTATGATATTATTTATAAGGCTCCCTACCTTCACCCTTAATTCTACCACAAGGTTATGTTTGCTGCTGATTAACTTGACCTCTGCATTTGCCTCTTGTCTGATAGATTGAATATCTCCAATGTGTTTGGGAGCTATGACACAGACATTTTCAGCTATGAGTTAATGATGATGACAAGGACTGGAAATGGAATTTGTTTTTATTTTTTTTTTACTGCCATTTTGAATGTTTTTGATTTGTATTAATTTCATTATTGTTATATAGTGCTGATTCGATTGCCTATTCACAATTAATGTATCTTATAGGATTAGAATTATTAGTTCCGTTTTATCATCCCATCCCACCAAACATGCTCCCCCTTTCAGCCGTAGGGGCATTATAATGTGATAGTCAATCCCACTATTCATTGGTTAAAGAGTTGGTGGTGAGTGGTGATGACTAGCTGCCTTCCCTCTAGTCTTACACTGCTAACTTAGGGATGGCTAGCGCAGATAGCCCTCGTGTAGCTTTGTGCAAAATTAAAAACAAACAAACTTGTTTTATCACCTGCAGTAAAACATTACTTTTTTCCACATCAGTGTTGTTTGTGTTTTATCCCAGATTTCCATCATATCTTGCCCTCCATTACATAGAATATGTTCAAATTGCCAATATAATTATGAAATGTTTTTGTGGGCAAATTATGCTTATAAACCTTCCTAGTTTCTACCTGCTGAAGGCATGTGCACTTCTAATAAGGTTGTTTCACATCCAGCCTTACCTTCCTTCCTCCCACAAACATTTTTTTTGCTTCCAGTGCCTATGATACAGAAATGGAATTCACTGAACTTGTTTCCTTAATTTATATTTTTCAATACTATATTGAATTTTTGTTTTAGTATTGTATTTTCAGTAATTTCTAACAGGTAATTTTTTGTTTTTTCAACTTTTAAGGCAGCATTACTCCATGATACAGTTGAAGATACTAATACTACTTTTGAGGAGATAGAGGAAATATTTGGTCGTAAAATAAGGGACATTGTTTATGAAGTTACAGATGATAAGACTTTGCCTAAACTAGAGAGGAAAAGGCTTCAAATTGAACATGCACCTCACTGTACCTATGAAGCAAAACTTGTTAAGTTGGCTGACAAGCTCTATAATCTGAGAGACTTGATGCATCAAACCCCAAGAGGATGGACAAAAGAAAGAGTAAATGAATACTTTGTTTGGGCATCCAAGGTGGTTGCTAGACTCAGAGGAACAAATAAGGAATTAGAGTCATCACTTGACTTGCTTTTCAGGAAAAGAGGAGTTGTAACAGACTAAAATGCTGAAGTAAAATGACTAGAATATTTGTGAAAGTTACCTCTATATTCTTAAAAATAATGTTTTCCTTTTAACTCCATTATTTTATTGTTGTTTTTTATCAATTTCTAAAACTTAATTTTCTTATTCCATTTGTTCAACTTTTTAAAGCCAAATTTATCACTGGTTTTCCTTATTTGACTATAATTTGATTTATCTGTTTTTGTTTTTTTTATATACCAGTCACATATTAAATTTTTAAATGTGGAAAAACATAGGTAAATAAACCAGTAGTATGGTGAAATGTCTTTCAACCATCTGTCCAGTTTAGAAGCTGACAACATATCACTAAATTATTGATCTGATATTAGACATGAAAACTTTTGACAAGATACATCAAATGAACTTTACAAATTAAAATCATTCACTGCAGTTAGATTATTAAATATTCATAGTAATAGAAAAAAGATATTTTCATATTTTAGGCATGATTTTTCCTAGTATATTGTACTAGTTGTTAACACAAAGACTGTTCCTTCAGACCTCTAATATAAAGAATGTCTCTGGGACAGACTGTTTTGCATCATTTATAAAGTACTTTATTGTCAACTCCAAAATTAGTTTTTCATGTTGATGAGAAGAAAGCTCATTAATTTTACACCTGAGGTGTTTTGAAAATTAGAACTTCTCAAATATAAAACAAGAGGGAATCCACAATGGCTGCAGCACTTGAAATTATCATTTTATTAGATATAATTTTGTGCACCAGCAATACCAAGTGTGAGGCACTCGTATACCTGATTTGATTTTATAACTCATTAGAATCTCTTAACAGCCTACACTCAAACTGAAATTCTTTTAGGCAGGATTAGAATAAATTAACCTTGGGCATGGTCAAATAGATCAATTGAAAGGGTTTGACCTCCTGAATCAAAAACTGTAATTAGATCTCAAATCAGTCAAGAGATGATGGAGCTGTGAGCTAAAAGTGTGTATCTGGAAAAAAGCTAACTGAGGGCTGTTCTATGAGCCACTTATTCATGGCTAAAAATAGGTGATAAATAAAACAGTAGATGAAAATGTTAATCACAAGAAAATATTTTCTTAATTTAAACAATTCTGCTTAGTAATTAAAAGAAAACTGGAAACTTATGAACATGGAAATAAATATCTTATCTATAATATATTTGGTTTTTTATTGTTTTTTTCATTTACCACTATGTGCTATTTACTATTTAGGGGTTTTAAGAATGTTATAAAAAATAACTTTGCAACAAAAGTAAATTCTTAAAAAAATTCAAAGTTTTAACATATATTTCAGGCATAATCATATTCAACATGTTTTGTAGTAGGTTATGCTTGTTTATCATTAACACATTATTAATTCTCTACTATCTTTATTCATTCACATTAGGATAGATTATTTTCATTGGCAAAAATGGTTGCAGATCATTTTGAAATATTGTAGTCAATATCAGAAATGTATTGTGTCGTGCAGTATCCAATCTTTCCAATATCTTTGAAATTCATGATGCTCATACTGTTATGAAATAGTAATTTTGTGAAATGTCAATTTTACTTTTAATTTGTGATTGCCGGTTGGTGTACATTATTCCTACTTGGTAAACTACCAATCAACAGGTAAACCTGCTAACTGAGAGATTGAGAATTCTTTCTAAAAAGTAGTTTGTGAGGAAATAAGACAGCTGTGTGTATCATTATTCTTGCCACTATTCACAGTCTTAAGCTTTTTAGAATTTTAATCAGAGTGGAGATTCTTAGAATGTGTAACAAATGAGAGATGACTTAACACAGCAAGGATGAATATAGTTGATTTGATAAAGGAGATAAATAGGCTTAATAATAATAAGGATAAAAGTCATATTTGACTGCAGACAGTTTTTTACATTTTAAAATGCTATTTATACATGCCTATAATTTGAAAGCTATTAAGAGGAATGCAGTTAAAATACGTCTGCAGTTTAATGTGATGTGTTACAATTATTAGGTCAAATGTCTTAATTGTTTTATGGCATCATCTCCTTTATTGGAGAGAGAGAGCTCTCCAAAAATTAGAAGTGTTCCAGACAGAAAACAATATAGCATTTCATAAAGCTGTTCTCAGAGCACAGACACAATTGACATAACTGTTGGTCAACAGAGGAGGTATATATATATGTGTGTGAGAATATATCCTAAAGGTATCACCTGTCTTACTGGTGTAAAAGATCACTGTTTGCTTCTCCATAGTATGTTAAACCTTGCAGAAATCTTTCCCATGAGAAAATTCATGTGAAACCCTTGGTAAATTACCATGAAATGGTAAACTAGGGCAGGGTTGCAGTGAAGCAACAGCGGTAGTTATTGCTCCCACATTTATGCTTGAGGTTGCTATAGTTTCACATGCTGATGGTTGGATAGGTGTCACCCAGGTGCATAGTGTAGTATACATAGGTTAAACTTTCTGAAGTTTGGAAGATCTCATTGAATATTAGCTCAAGGAATGTTCTTTTTGACTGAGTAATGATATTTCTCTGTAGAACAATCTGCAATGAGAAGCTTGATAATTTTTCCTTGGCTTTCTGGTGGTTCTAAGGTTTCCTTCAGGACTACTTACATGATTGTGGAGCAGTAGCAGTAATTGACCCCACATTCATATCTAAGGTTGCCAGAGTTTCACCTGTTGAGGGTTGAGTGTGTGCCAGCAAAATGTCTTGTGTGAGCAACATAGGTTGAAGTTTCTGGCACTTGGAAGATCTCATTGAAGATCAACTCCAGAAAGGTTTTTTTTGGGGGTGAGGAATAGTGAATAGCGTTTCTCTATAGAGCATCCTCTGATGGGAAATAGATTTCTTAGCCTTGGCTTCTCTGGTAGTTTTGGATTAAATGGCTAGAATGGGATCTGGTGTGAGAAGTGGGCAGGCTGTGCCTCACTGGTGTGGCAGCTGCTGAAAATGGTAACATCCTTACATGACCCTTTCTTAGCAGACCATAGGTAACAAGCTTGTCAGGCTAATACAAGATACTTCAGGCTTAGTTCATCAGTTGGATGTCTAGTTCCTTCTTGTCAGGGGCATCAGCCAGTAATGCATCTTCATGCATGAGCTCCACTCAGGTGAAGGTGAGGCTGGCCCCTGGTGACTTTGAAACTCTGGTTAGTCTTCCAAGTCTCTAAGATTGCCAAAAAAAAAGTAAACTCATGAGTTTCTCCTTTCAAGTCAGTATATAAATTAGCTGGCTGAAGCAACAATAAGAGAAAGTTAGAAGAGCACAACTGGCTAGTTGCATGGAAACAAGGTAGCCAGAAATCTATCTTGACAGGTGTTTTGGTTTTAAATCAAACAAGACCCAAAGGGGCTTGAGAGACAACCAGAGTGGTTAGAAACTTCAGCTTCTCTTCACCCTGGATGCAGAATTAAGAGTTATTATTATAGCGAATTTAGTTATATTTCTAGAGTGAATAAAAGTAGCATAACTAATTTTAAAGGTTGGGGTGTGAATGTTTAACTTGTGGTTTTTTGGTAAACAAGTGTGCTATGAGTATGTACTTAGCATGACTAATGGAGACCCTCAAGACATCCGGGAAAGATTTGAAAGTCAGAAGATATGTGAAAGCTCAATGAAAACTGTTAATTAAAACTATAGTTACTGTAACTTCTACTTCTGACTGACTTGAAGGACCAAGGCTGTGACAAAAGCAGCAAGTTCCTGGATAACGACTAACGTGAATAAAAATCATATGATAAATTTAAAACTGACATTGGGCTCTGCCCACCACGAGTTCTAAATACAATTAAACTAAAACATAATTATAATTAACATGGAATAGAACCTTTCAGTGTTGGGATCATAGGATCCAAAATTCAAGGTAAAACATTTGATTGGGGGTGGGAGGAGAGATCCCACTTTTAATATAAATACCCTCACTGTGCCCTGGAAAATCTGTAGGAAAAAAAAACAACAAGTTATTAAAACTTGGATTATCAAATCAAAAAATTAAAATAAACTAGAAGGATGGAAAGTCGATGTCAGGCTCAAGAATTCCAGATTGTAGTCATCATCAGGAATCGTGTGTTCAGTGGTCTGGCATAGATAGATTGGCTTGTGGGGAATCTTTTGGGTACGCTCTAAAAACCCAAGGCTGCAGGTGTCAGTCTTCTGCAGAAGGATGGAGTGTTTGTTGGAGGACCCGTCAGGCTTTTTGGAAGACTGGAGAAAATGGCAAAAGTCGTCGACAGGTTGCTCTCCTGTCTGAATTCGTTGGTCTTTCTTGGTGATGTGGGTTTGTGTACCTCAGTTGTTTGTTTGAAATTTGTCACTGGAAGTTGAGGTGCTGCATATGGTAGGCTGTGTTCCATCAGTTTGTATTGCTTGATTCTTCAGTGAAGGCCTGTTGAGTAAATTTTTCTATATTATCCGAGGACTTGATAGTTTGCTTCTTAACTGGTATTGTCTGTGTAGATACATCTGTCGTGACTGTGTTATTCTGTTTCCTCGTCATGAATGTTGTATCATGAGTGCTGATGGGAGGTGATACAGGAATCACTCGTGAAGATCAGTTAACTTGTGCTGGAGGTGTAAAGGTCCTGTTGGATAATGTTTTAGGAATTGTGTTTGTAGTGAAAAGGCCCTTTTCTTGGTCTTTCGGATCTAAAATGAAAAAAAGAAGTAGGATAAACCATTAGTTAATAGGCGTTCTGCAGTGGGTTTGGAAGTGGTAACACTTGATGTATTGGGTTGGTAAGCCTGTGGTTCTTGAGTTGATTCAATGTACAGCATGGATCGAGTACTTGGGTGTGAAAAAAGTTGTGTGTTAGTGGGGTTTACAAACAACTGGAGGGTTTGAGTTCCATGGGGAACAGAGATAAGTGAAGTCTTTGGGAGAAAGGGGTTGAATAAAATTCTCCCCTTCGTAGTAGGATCAATGGCAGCATTAGGATTCTGTTTTCTTAGGAAAATGTTGATTTGGTTGAGAAAGAAATCTTTCGGAATTCCGTCGATGATTAGACGTGAAACAGCTGATAAGGGCTTTGAGTGTAGTCTTCCTGTTGGAAGGCTACCTGCTTGATCACAGAGCATAGAAACTGACAGCTTCATGTGTCGATACACGCTTCACTTGATGTCACAGAAAAATATAAATACAAGCAAATCCAGTGAAACAGCTTTCATGAGAAAGAACACAACTCCCTCACCAGACATGGAAGAGTTAGTATGAAGACTGAAGTGTACTAGACATGTCTAGCTAGTATTGCATAGTCTGCTCTGCAGAAATTCTGCTACTACTTAGCTAAATAGGGTATTATTTATGCAAAATGACATAAATGAACATTTTGCTTCAATAAATCATTCAGTAGCATGGGTAATAATGGTTGCAATGCCAATTTGGCTTAGTTTTTGAACTCCTTGTGATCATTTTTGATTTTACAAACTGATGGTATTCTAAGTATTGCATCTACTAATACCAACTGTCCTATTTGTGCAATAATCGAGCAGCTATCGTCCAATATCCAAGTGATATCTCTCAGTGAAATTGTGCTTGATAGCTTGGAAAGTAAGGATCACAGCATCACTTTAATCCTATTAATTTTGTGAGTCACAAACTGTTCTTTCTAGCTTTGTAATAATCAAGTGGCAATCACATAATTTATTATACATTTAATAATGAAACACTACTTGGCAGGTCAGAAAACAGGGATCTCCATTTCAGTCACTGAACTTTGACTGTCCTAGCTGCTAATCTGGCAGTTAGTCATAACCATAGCAATCATGAAGTGATGGTTGGTAAATAATGGCCAGCCATCAAAGCTATCTTGCACCTTTTCTCTCGGTGCTGATTCGATATATATAGCTAGATAATTATTTTCAGCATCTTACTCTTCATAAGCTGAGTTGAGATAATACAAAATACTTTCATCATTCCCTGACTTGTTAACTTTCACCTTTGATTCTTGGTCTAGTCAGTGTACAAGAGATTAATTAGTGACATACTGCCTTACATTGTCGACTTTTCTTATGTTTGCAAAGTGACCACATTAACTCGTATGTCAACGAGCCAATTTTTTGAAGTACAAGGTAAGGACATGTCCAGTCAGAGTCAAATGTCCTGGACCGTGATAATGCCAAAGCCTGTTGGCATGCACCACTTTTGGCTTACCTCGCCGACCAC